ATGCTTAAAAACTCCCCCCCCCCCCCCCGTCATAATCTTGCACGGACCCTGTTATGACCATTTGCGGTCCTCGAAGCTCTGCGATTGCAAGGAGTTCTTCTCGTCCATCGAGAGTTCCTGCCTGTGCTGTCGCATGTGATGCGTTGTTTTCGGTAGGCGAGTTCGGGCCCAGCTGCTACTAGCGCAGCTCCGCCTCTGAGGTGTGTAGCTGGGTGGCATTTGCACATGAGATTTCAACAGAGCGAAGAGACCTCAATGCAGCAGAGTGAGCTGCAGAATGCTCAATCCAAGCGATTTGCCTTAGAGCCTTGCTCTGATTGAAATCTGCGATCATCTGATCCATGGGCAGGTCATTCGGGTCATCTGACACGAAGCATCCCACGCGAGTGTCGCCACAGCATCTTGCACTGCGCCATTCTGTCGGAGGCGACCAGCACACAACTACTATCTAGATAAACAGTCGAAGACAGCGCACAGAATCCACGCTGAGGGCGCTCGCTTACTGTTACTGTCAACCCTATGGGCTCTTCATGGCGAAACATCTGGCAACTCTGGCCTGAACGTGTAATATTCGATCGTTTGTTGGCTGTTAACTGCAATTGCGCAGTCTTCCTTTCTTTCTCTTGCTGCCTGCTTTCCTGCTTTCGTTCCACCTTACCTGGATGCCTTCTTTCCTTCCTTGCCTCCTTCCTGCCCTCTGTCCTTCCTTCCATCCCCCTCTCCCTCCGTCTGCCTTTCTTGTCGTCCTCCGTCCTTACTTGCTGTCTTTAAAGCTTGCCTTCCTTTCCCCCGCGTCACAGCCCGGTTGCTTGATGCTACGTTTGTATACCCAAAATCGTCACCTGCACCTCTTGCACAGAAGCTCTTCCTTCTTCAACTTCCAACAGCCATGTACCCCCCCTTATCCCCCCGGCCGGTGAGCTCTTTTGGTTGGCAGGCCTTGCATCTCCTGCTGTGTCTGCTGTGTAGCTTCTGTCGAGCTTGTTGGTCCAGCCCCAGAGGCAACTTCACGTACCACCGATAGTTGCAGGTGGTTACAGCTCATGGCGGAGAAAGTACCCGCGGCCAGGGAGACGACTCTGCAAGCCTCTGACAAACCCCAAGTACAAATGGCAGGGCCTCCGAATGGGGACTCCAGTTGCAACGCAGTGAAATGGATGCACCACCTCGGATCACATCGAACACGCTGCGACATCGTTCGTCGTGTGTCTGCTGTTTCCTCTTGCTGATGCCGCGCGATTCTTGAACGTGATGGGAAGTCCCGTGCAGACGTCTAAGACTTCCGCAGAAACAATGTCACCTCGCAACTGGTGGTCAATTGCTTGGTTCAGAAACAAGCCGCATTTTTCCACATGCTGTCCAAGCCGCAGCGAACGATACGCCTGCGCCGTTCAATGGCAGAAGCAGTATGCTGGAGAGGAGTGGCCTCAGAGTAAAGCAATGACTCCGGCACTCCAGTTTCCCAAGCTGCTGATGCTCTCGACACGTAAGTAAATAAGTCGAGGTGGCATTAAGCTCCAGTGGATGATCAGGACAACAATGCTGATCTGAGCAGAAGGATTTGAACAAGGAGCCGCCCTGTGCAGATGAGCTTGAAGGACAAGACTTCTTGCCTGGTGATATGGAAAAGGAAACGGAAAGTCTGCAATCTTGCGCGCATTCTGCAAGTTCACGATTCCGCGAGACATCTCCTGCAATCTCTGGCTTTGCAGTGCTTCGCAGAGCCACTCTGGATGCACGATGCACAAGTGCGCAGGCTGCTATGTGCCCAAATATTGGATTAGTGACACGCACCTGGAAGACTCGAGAGATAACAGGTGGAGGGACCGGTAAAATACCGTCGGCCATTCGGAGAACCTTGGGTCATGTCAGAGCTACTTTATGCGTTGACCGAACCCTGCACGGCAAAAAAACACTTTTTCCTGTCTAGGCGCAACTGACCTTTGAATCCATTGCTGTATGACTTCTTCCCTGTCCTCGATACCCTGCAAGTACCTGATGCTTCAGGAGGTGTCAGAATCTTTGGTTCTCTTGCCGGAAAAGTCCTACCGTGCCAGTACTGAGCCTCTGACTTCAGGCTGGCCTGAAAACACACAAAGTGCAGCTAATGGCAAAAGCCAGTACAGTGCTTTCTTTTCGGCTGCTCTCTTCCCCTTGAGCAGGAACATCGATGCTGGAAACAGGCATCCCCCCCTAACCCTATGCTGCGAGCTGACACTTCATGAAAACACGACGGCATGAATAAACTGCGGGCTGTTCAGTCTGGGCAGGACCAAGGAATTGGTCAACAGACAGGCAAGAGATCTAAAGGCGTCAGGAGTGGGGTATATACACTGCTTAGGAATAGTCCGCAAATCAAAACCTGGCTCGATGACACGGACGCAGTAGAAGCGGTGGACATTGCTTCGGTTGACTTTCCTGGAACTCTTTTGTCTGGTGTGTCGGGTCAGATGCAGCAACTGCCACAGGGATGGATCCTCGCACTCAACAAAAAGATCGTTCGGCTGCAGGTTATGAAGAAACAGGAAACTTGTAGCTTTGATCTGCAATGCTCATAATACTCAAAACACGCTATGATTCGAGAGGGCGACAATTGACAGAAGATTACTTCCAGCTCGAGCCAGGAGAAGCACAACAAGCCCGTTAAGCATCCCCAAAATCAGAATTGCTTTTGTTGGGCTGCACTAGGTGATGCCAGACATCTGAAACATTGAAATTTCCAGTCGTGATGGGGGGTACGTGCAGACGAAGCAGCTGAGCCGTCCCCCCACCCCCTACAGAAGTCACCCATATGGGCAGAGACTTCCCGTTCTTTCATGTGGGGCTCGCGCAAGCCCTACCTTCGACGGTTTAATTGGGTTAAAGACTCGTAAACCAAACCAGTTTCTATGTCGGTATTGAACATCACATCAAATGGGCTCAAATCCAGAGCCGGATGCATGCAGCAAGCCCGGGAAAAATCGTCTGCGCTTGGCCGCAGCGCTGGGAAGGCGCTGTGAAGCAGATTGATGGTGGGTTGGTTGAAGGTCGTGTCGGGGACACCAGAATTGCACAATTACGCGCAAGTCTTGAGAAATGCCGCTTGGCCTCGAGCCCGGGGAAATCAGTGAATGCACCCACAGTGTGGGGTGCGACACCAACTTGTGCGCAAACCAACCCCTGGCATTTTGCAGCCTGAACAGTGCATTTCCATTTGCTCAGAGCTCTGAGATTTTAATTTGCATCGTTTTATGGAGGGGTTACACGCACAGTGCACGCAACCAAGCACATGTGCATGCTGTTGAATGCGGGCCTGGCTTGGACTCCGGAAATCATGATAAAGCAGTTTAGGGGTGGGTTGCTGATGCATGGGATGGGACGCCAAAAGCGGCCAAACCAAATGCCTTTGGGCTTGGTGTGCAATTCCACGGCTAGCTTGTAGCATTGTTCGTGCTTGGGTGCGATAATATGGTACACTGGATCTCTCGGACTAAGAATGCCGCATGCATGTTGCAAGCCCCGACAAACACGCTTGGGCTGCACGGAGCTTCAAGAAGTTGGTTTGACGTGCTCCCCGCAGCCAAACCTGTCCTGGCCACCGTATTCTGCTGGCGATCTTATGGTAGTCTCTGATCGGTCTCCTGGGGTCGCACAGGTCGCACTGGTATGGGTGGTCGTCGTGGCGGGCCGGTGGTGCTCGTCGTGGTCGTCTTGGTCGTCGTGGTCNNGGGCACAATTCAAACCCGATCACAGCGCAACTAGTGAGATGCTTAAGGGCCCGACAAGCCCAACTATCCGGGTCATAGTACGATTCGGATATCGATGGTGTTGGATACCCACGTGTGCCCTCCAATGTGAGCATGCCACCTGTTCCCCATTCCGTGGCAGGCATGCGAAATGATGAGAAAAAATGCGACCCGTGTGTTTTGCTGTCTTTTGGCATGAGAAATTATGCTCTTCTAGCCACGTGCTCATGCTGATTGTACTGACATGCAGGTCCAGGTATACAATCGTAAAAAGAAACAAAGCAGGCGGACGTGCCGCAATGCGCAACATCTGGCAGCACGACCCACCCGCATGCAGCCTTCTCCAAGCCGCATGGGTTAAGGATGTTGAAAGCACGATCCGACGGAGAGACTTGCCTGGCCGTGGGGCACGGATTATCTTGCATGAAGTTTCTTGCACCTTGTGACTGCCAATTAATCAAGTCAGCCAAGCTGTAGTGCACAGCAGTACAAGAGCGACATCAAGCGTGCTAGAAGATGATGAAACTCTTCTACCTCCACTGCTTTCCACTGCGGTAGATCAGTGCCACGTGAGAGATGCTCGGACGCCATGCCTTGGCTTGCAGCTCGACCTTGCCAGAACCTGGAAGCCGGATTAAGAGAGCTCGGATGCGCCCCATGCAAACCGAGGAAGGTTCTGAAAGCGATCAGGCTGCTGTACGCATTGAACCTCGGAGCATACCCCAGTCACAACTCGGTCATGTCGGGGTGCACTTTCATGTGCTTGCAATCAAGGAACCACTCTCCGCGTGTCTTTTGCAGCAGAGTTCCACCCTCCCACCACCGATCATACGCAATTTGAAGGCGCGCAGTGAGAATGAAGATCCTGAGTGGAAATGGCCAGCATGTGCCGCAAGACTTTACCGACACGCATCCTCCGCGGCAAATAAGCTTCTGGCATGACAGCTGTGAATGTCGCCGCGAGGAGCCTGGGCCAGCAGGCTTCTGGTCTTCTAGGCTCCCGCGTCGGGCCAAGAAGTGGAAGCGACCGAGGCTTCGAGAACTGAGGAGTCAGCACGACCGCCTCTGTGATCTCAGCATCTCGGCTGGCACCCTCTGCTTCTGCGGCGAGAAGAAGAGACACCTGACACTTCCCTGGGGGGCTTTATATAGTCACACATGAAAGCGAGGAGAGTCGCCCTGAGAACAACACGCCATATGTAAGCATTGCATTCCTCGGTTCTTGATACGGGCAGGGCTGAGTAGAAGGCCAAGCCTGCAACGCCTACACCTACAAGGTGAGAGTCACGTAAAGTTTCAAAGACCAGCATCGGCAGAGCCATGGCCAATGCCCGCGGAAGGACTGAGGCGGACAGACCCAGCAAAAGGGAAAAGCCCCACCTCAGTCTATAGACGTCAGAAAAGACTTCGATGAAGCACTCTCGGGCACCCTGCTTGCCACTTTCGTAGTATCTCATATCGCTCACAGCCTGGGCAGCAATGGCTCGTGCGAGGCATTGGGGTACCATCGTATCTTTGGTCGTCGGTCTCAAGGCCGAGACTGAAGCATCGCCTGTGCAACTGCGGCTGAGGTCATGAACATCTTTAGGTGAAGTTGCACAGGCAAATTGCGCCTTCCCGGGTGCCAGAACCTCACGAATCCTGCCATGCCGATGGCATCATGGCGTCACGGCGTCATTCTTGAAGCTTCGTCGTCTATCTACTTTCTCAGCTGCCTGAGCTACCAATGATCTTGTTCGTAGCTGTGCAGCTATGCCATGCCCAACGCTTGCTCGACCGGTTCTGGACTCATTGCACGCTGAACCCTGCGACTAAACCTTTCCAGCTCATGTCGAAACACAACCACAGGCGCATACACTTCGTGGCACTCGCCCGCATGGGAAGAATGCGCACCGCAGCCTTTGTGTAACCTCACCGCTGAAGCCTTGAAATTCCTGGTATTCCACAGGGTACCTGTCTCGCATAGGCCATGTATTCATCCCCAAAGAATTGTAGCAGCGTGTCCTCTTCGTGCGGTATCCTGCCCGCGAAGAAGCGGAAAGAGACCCAAGCGTAGCAGAAGATGCAGACAGGGTTGATCAGAAGGATCTGGGTGGAAACGCTCCACAGGAACCATCCAACGTATCCAGGATGTCTGCACCAGCCATACACCTGGCTTCCGGCCCCTCTCCCACGTCATATTCATCGATATTGCAAATCTAACCCAGCCCGTGATTTGAACAACAGGCTAAGAACTTGCAGGGCATTGTGCAGATCAAGATGCTCCATGCTGCACAAGTCTATGGGATGGATCCTTGTAGTGGGCGACAAGGTGAGTGAAGTTTGATCTCGCAGTGAAGAGTGCGGCCTTGGAGCCCAGCCAAGTGAAATACGCAACTGAAGACAGAACACATGGAACACATGAGTTTAAACTTTAAAGCTATGAGAGCCAAGTGCCTTGATGTTTATGAGGATTGGGCAGAGAACCCCAAAGAGGCCCTGCAGAGTCAGCTTCTGTTCAACTGGTTTCTGCGAATTAGACCAGAAATGCTCCTGGCCATTATCTTTGCATGCAATTGCAAACATGCACCAGAAGCACTACATTATGTTAGCCTTGCTTCTGGCTGTCCGAGTGGTTGGCTCTTGTTTCGCTCTAGAAAGTCCAAGGCACCGTCCTCAACGACCAGCCAGCAAGGACAAGCCCTGCCCCCAGCAGGGTCATACCTCCCAAGAGGACACCTGCAGCTTGTGGCTGTGTATGGGGCCCCGGTCCGGCGCGCGAGGACGCTCGTGCTTTCCAGCAGCTCAGAAATAGATAGCCCATGATTGCATGTAGCATTTGTAGAAACGCGCATAAAGGCTGAGTGGGGTGTGCACCATTTGCTCTCGCAGTATGCCTAGGACTCGGACTTTTCCGGCCTAAGTGCCGATACGAACCCAAACGAGCCGATTCGCTCCCATGTAATCGTGTTGGCCCTGTGGACATCTGTGGACTGCGGGCACACACACACACATCACACACACACACACACACTTGATTGACCCCCGATTGGTCGAAACCAAACATGGGTTAGCACGTAATCTTACAATCGTTGCCTAGATATGTTCCACATCCTCTTCTTCATCTTCATTGGCCGGAGTCGTCTAGAATGCAGGCACGTTTTCACGAGAGGGCAGGTAGATGAGTGCGCGGTCTTCGTTGGCCAGCGCACGTCATCTTACCTGCCTCTCCGCTGGCCCCCTGCATCTTAGTTGTGCCCTTAGTTTCAGGGTTTTACGCACACACACACACACACGCACGTGCACTGCGACAGCATCATCAACATCATCTGGCGACAAAATGCGTTTTCGCGCGCTCGGGCCTGGGAGGGTGATCCCCGATGCTTGCCACAGCCAGAACTCACATATTGCCGCAACGATGGCCATGCTGTAACCAGCTGCCGGCACAGGCGCGAGGAGGAAGCAGCGGAACTCCTTGGCTGCAGGATCCTAAAACAGCCGCTGCGGCAGTCATGTCCTCTCCGTCGGAAACAAACTGCGCGGGATGTACTGTGGGGTGCGAACCGGGCGCAATCGTCTTGCTGTGGCAAAGCACGGAGAAAGCGAACTCAGTTGCATGGAACAGAGTGACGGCCACAAAGAAGAGAGGCCTTCAGCAGCTCACAGTTTTTTTCTGATCTACTGGGTCGCTAGGCACACCATCTCACGAGAAGCCACTGTCATGCACAGTCGCATTCGTGGATCTGCCATCCTGAGGCTGGGATTAATTCGGAAGGCCATGAAACAGAAAAACAAAATTGAAGGCTGCAACAAGGATCACAGCAAGTGAAGCCCAGTAGAATATGGAAGTCCAGCACGATGATAGAGTAAGGCCCAACTGGATCCAGAAGCCCGCCAAGAACAAAGAACAGCCACAAGAAAGCAGCTGCTGCTGCTACTACTATTATTGCTACTACTACTAAAGCTACTACTGCTACTGCTACTCCTATTCCTACTCCTTTCCTACTCCTCCTACTTTCTTCCACCACCTACGACCACCTACTGCTACCTCCTGTTTACTGCCCACTTTTTACTAGCTACTACCTACTACTACCTACTACAACCTACTTCTAGCTACTACTACCTACTACTACCTACTACTACCTACTACTACCAACTACTACCAACTACTTCCTACAACTACATACTACTACCTACTGAGTACTACGGACTACCTACTACTTAACACCTACTACCTACTACTACTACTACTACTACTACTGCTACTACTACTACTACTACTACTACTACTGCTACTACTACTACTACTACTACTAGTACTACTACTCCTCCTGCTGCTGCTGCTGCTGCTAATGCTGCTGCTGCTAATGCTGCTGCTGCTGCTGCTGCTGCTGCTGCTACGACTACTACTACTACGACGACGACTGCTGCTGCTGCGGCTGCTGCTGCTACTACTGCTACTACTACCACTACTACTACTACTACTACTACTACTGCTACTACTACTACTGCTACTACTAGCCACCCCCCCTACCAACCGCTTGCTCCATCCGGGCTGGGCAGGGGCAGCTTCTAGGCTCCCTAACTGCGACAGCTGCAGAAGATGCAGGGGCCTCAGGCTCCCTGTCTGTGACGACTGCAGAACTTGCAGAGATTTCCTTGACTGTCAACATCGAAAACAAAATGCCAGCTGCACGTGGGAGGCCTCGCCAACACCCCTAAAGCCCAGACCTCGGCGTAGGAGGGTTTGCTTTTGAAGTAGTGTATGGTGTGTGTGCGCCAGGGTGCGGAGATATTGTTCGGGGTGTCCGCGAAACAGTGTCGTGATCATCCCCGAAAAGGCTTCCTCCAATTTCGATTTTTCGCCGAAAACCGTCCGAAATCCCAAGGTCGAGTTCATCCAGAAGTTTTGGTGAGTGTATAAGATGGTCCGACATCACGAAAGTACTGTACGTACCGAGTAAAACGGCTCTTTTGCCGTCTCAGGCTGCCGGTACGTCAATATCCCCCCACCCCCCCGTCGTGATCTGTGTTTGCGAACGGGTGTGCGCGCAAATAAATGGAGAATGCCAAACTGCGCGCGAAAAGTCGAAAAACATGAAGTCAAAAAGTGGTAACAAAATAAACGTTTTGCGCGAAAAACCCGTAAAGTCGAGAACTCGCGAAAAAGTACAACAAAACGCGAAAAGTCGAAAAGTCGAAAAGCCGCGAAAAGTCGAAAAGTACAGCCAAACGCGAAAAGTCGAAAAGTCAAAACGTCGAAAAGTCACCACAGCAGAAGCCGAAAAAACAACAATTGGCACACATCTGAAACATCTTGACACAGCTTTGGTCTGCAAAGAGCAAAAGCAGATCTAGGATAATGTTAAGGATTTCGGGTACTGGGGAAAGTGTTGTGGCCTGGGGGCTATTAAGATTGAAACCTTGTCAAATCAAAGCACCGGAAAGGATGTCCATCTTTACTACATGTGCGAGGTGTCCATGGCACAGGGAAGTCGATGTGCAAGGTTACACAAAAACACGTAAGCATTTACGTGTGCTATGTGTGGGTAAACAAAACTAGTATTATGGTTACACGTACATGCATTTGTATATTTTTGGCATTCACATTTGTCTATACATGATACATGTATCTGAATAAATGAATACACAAATAGATGAATACACTGAATACATATATATATATATGTGCATACATACCTAAAGGTATGTATATATGTATGCATATATATATATAATACCTATACACATGTATATATACATGCACACCAGTGTTAAACCCTAAACTCCAACCCCGGAGACCACATCAACGCCTGTAGCGACATTTATAAAGACTTCAAAAACAACCAGGTTTAAGCCCGAGTGGAACCAACAGAAAAATCTCATTAACTAAATGTAGGAATCCTCGCAGAAACCATTCATTTTGGGGCTAGCGATGTGAAACATGCTTCGGGGCATGATAGTGCATGGAGCTTTGATGAATACCATTAGGAAGCCCTCCGCCCCGATCGTTGAAGACCTTTGAAAAGCTACACAAACTCACTGACACGAACAAACCCAGGCTCTTTAAACATCCAGCGAGAGCCTATAACGCCCGTTTAATCGCCAACCGCCGAAGCGGCTGTGTTGCTTAGTTGCGCGCCCGGCTTGACGACGTCGTAGATGGCAGGTAAAACCGGTGAAAGCTAAGTGTAGGCATGCTTGATCTAAGCGCGACAATGACACTGCGACTGCCACACAGCAGGCCAGACTCAACATGAGCCCTGTGGTAGTCAATGCCCTTTTGCTTAGTGGTGTGTCTGGCTTAGGGCACGAGAAAAACCCACCGTCGGACAAAGCAGGAAGGCGCGAACGAGCTACAACCACGACACTTGAAACTATGACTGATTCTAAGAATAATCGTGTGAGTATCGGGGTCAGCTAGCGCCCAATCAAAAACTTGTACAAGCAAACGAAAAAATCCAAAAACCCGAAACGA